TTATACACACATCTAATGCCACAGTCATAAAAATCTTAAACCTTCATATAGAAAAGCCTTTTTTATAAACTTGAAATAGATTTTACTAAATAAATTCTACTGTCTAATACTGAAAAGAATGAAGACTTACAATTCATACATTCCAGCTATCCTTGTAGTGAATACAGTAGGTAGAAATTGTAATTTTAAACTCTTAACATCAGTAGGTAGTCTACATTGAGGATTACAGGCAAAGAGGAACACTGAAAAAGCATTTGAAAAAGCAAAACCAGTGATGTTGTTCATTTGCTGCCCCCATCTGGGGAAAAACAAAACAAACAAAAATGCACCACAAGACAGCCAGGGAAATAGCTGTTCCCTGCATACTGTTACCTACACTGATAACTCACCCTTGTGACAGCAGATCCTTTTCAGTTCAAAGGCAATTTTTCAAGTTTTGAAGTATCAATAGACTCTAAAACATATTTCCCAAATTATTCTGTTAATCTAGGTGTAATAAGAGATGATTCGAGGAAGAAGAGAAAATGAGGCTACTTTGGCACTCTGAAGCTCTGCGCAGCTGCACAGACCGTGCGTTTGGAGCTGCAGCCAGAGCAGCAGCGTTATCCTCCCACCGCTCTGCCATCAGCTATTCACCCCACGCTGCGGGACACAGCACTGGCCCGGCTGCAATTTGCAACAGATTCTGTTCTGCCGTGGGGTCAGGGCCTTTAGGGGAAAGAAATAAGAGGCGGCCACAGGCTGGTATCATGGCTAATTGCTAGTTTCATTACTTTGCCCTTCAATGAGGCTGTAAGGAAGAAACAGTGTTATTATGAAGTTTGTTTTGCTGTACAGGCAGCACGGCAAAACTCAAGTCAGAACTAGGTATGAAAAGTTCAAGTAAATTATTAATCTCTGCAGTAATTACAAGCAACGTTCCAGAGAGAGCTCCAGAGACCCAGTCCATAAATGTTCTTTTTACTTCCAAAACAGAGAGGTAATGCATGCATCAGATAATGACACATTCCATGTGTAACCTCAGACTACATTTGGATTGCCATACTCCGCTGGTTCAAAAATAACTGTTGTAATGATATGATGATGTATAAGTGCTTAACCTTGTACTTCTCCATCTTTAAAAATGAGACAAGTTATTTCAAAATAGCATGTTGTGAACGTGGCAGCAATCTGTCTACCTGCTTTGTGAATCTGTAATGAATGAACTGTGTTTTATCTATGACAAGGTTTACTAACTGACTACTTAATTTAAAAATAAAAAAAAAAAAAAACAACAAAACAACAAACAACAGATGCTCAGCACATCCATCTACCCTACCTACTAGCAAAGCTGCTAGTTCATTACAAGTGACCAGGCCTTTCACTATCCAAACCCAAATTCCTTTTTTTTCTTTCTGTTTATTACACTGATTTCATGGAGCTACTAAACCATGTATTTGTTTCCTTCCATGGGAGCAACAACATCATCAAACCAGGAAATCCAGATTTGGTATAGACAGTTCAGTCCTCAAAAACAGCAGGGTAAAGAAGGTATTTGGGGAAAAAACTTTGACAATTTAAATTAATTAATTATAATACACAACTGTAGAAGTCAGAAAGTGATTTCTCTAGTTAAACTGAAGGTGTCTATTGTGAAAAGGTTTTCTAATAATCTAACAGACAGATGTATGGTCATAGAAAACAACAAAAAAAACACCCCCAAAACCAAACTCACATACTTAAAGGAAGTGTAGAGAAACAGAATGTACACTAACTTCTCTACCTAGACACTAGAAAAGCTATCATTAGAATATTGTGCAGTGTCAACTCATGGATGGGTAGCTACCAGAGATTACTGTCACCTTTATGAAAGAAAAAAAGATCTTTTCTGAATAACAGGAAAGCATCAAATGCCTTCTCCAATTCTCTCTGAAAGAGGTCAAACAAAGCCTTAGTGTTAACTCTTACAACTGCAGATAAATGAAATTTTGTATTAACTGATGTTGTTGGTTAAACCCAGCCGGCAGCCGAACACCACACAGCCACTTGCTCATCCTTCCCTGCCCCAGGGGATAGGGCAGAGAATCGGAGGGGTAAAGGTAAGGAGACTCATAGGCTGAGATAAAACCAATTTAATAATAGAAAGTAAATAAAAATTGAAATAATAATAACAACAGCAGTAATAAAATATAGGAGTGACGCACAATGCTACTGGTCAATGCCCACTGACCAATGCCCAGCCAGCAATCCCAGAGGAGGGAAAATCCCGAAACCGCAATCTTGGAAGAACCAGAGCTCACATCTATATACAGAACATATTGTTATATGATCTGGAAAATTTCATTGGCCAATTTGGGCCCCTTGCTCTGGCTCTGCTCCCTCCCAGCTTCATGTACACCTGCACATTAGCAGGACATGGGAAGATGAAAAGTCCTTGATTTCTTCGCAGCAACCAAAAACATCAGTGCATTATCAACATTCTTCCCATATCAAATCCCACACTGAATCCAAAACACAGCTCTATTCTAGCTACTAAGAAGGAAAATTAGCTCTATCTCAGCCGAAACCAGGACAACTGATAAAACTGGTGCTTCAGTAACTATGCCTCTTAGAAATATAGCCATGACCGCAAAGTAAGCTTTACATTGTCACATTCTTTCATCTAGTTTACGCACAGAATTCAAAGAAGTCTCAGAGCACATCTCTTGGCTCTTCAAAGAGCACATCTCAGTGGCTCTCCTTCATTATTGCTCACAACAAAATGTAAGAGAAAACCTTTAGAAGCACCTCTTGACCAGCACCTGCTTACTTTATTCAAAAGACTGATAATATGACAAACCAAGTAGAAGAGAGCTATTTGAATAGGGTACCTCATTTTTGTTCAGGCTATCTGTTGGCAACTTTCTTGTAAAAATAAGTAAGTGAATAAATGTGCCACATTATCAACTGTTCTGAAATGAAGATCTGCAGAAGCACTTGGAGCATAACGAGCAAAATGGCAAGTTTTGCTATAATGTAGATCATACCTACTCTAAATACTGCATGTAAATTAACTTGAGTCGTTCTTTCTAATTGCTTGTGTGTTGGAGCACACAGGATTATCTTCAGCTTTCCTTCTTCTCTTCCTCTCCTTCCTTTTTTTTTTGTCTGATGGATTTGTTTGTGACGTTTATTTACCTGACATTTAGTTTTGAATACTTGATCCCAAAATGAAGACAGAAGGGGTGCAGTAGTTTTGTAATTTTCCATATGCTCTTTCAACTCTTCGCTGGATTGTCAATTAAGAAATCAGTTAACTAATTCAAAAAGAAACACAAAATACAGTATCAACCAATATTTTACATTACCATTCAGAATTTGAGAGAAGATACTTTCAGGTGAAAGACAAAGTTGTAGAGGGACTTTTGAAATAGTGTAACCCTCATAATTCAGTCCACTAACAGAGAAAAAAACCTTGCTGATCATTCTCTCTCCTGTTTGTGAAACACACGCACAAAGGGGAAAAACAGCTTCTCAAAAAAGCTAGACAAGCCGCTTGTTTGGGTTTGGTTTTTTGGTTGTTTTGTGTTGTTGGTCTTTTTTTTTTTTTTCCCAACTGTAGGACAGATTTAGATCCCAGTTGTTAAATACAGTTAATGTTGAGGAAAGAACTGATCTCTTTTACTTTTACACATGTAATAAATACAATGAATAGGCAGATGACTTACAGCAATATTTAACTGCCATTCACACCCTCTTTAGAAGTACAGATTATAATCCTTGGATGCACACTTTCATTCTAAAATTGCCACAGTGCTGCTCATTACAAAGGAAGAGAAAAACAAAATTAGATAAGCAACAAATTATAATAATAAAAATTACAGCATTTGGAAAGTCACTGTTGTGGTGGCAAGCATGTCAAACAGAGTAAATATCCCTGTTTTTTAAAGGTGACAAAACAGGAAGAATAAACATGATTTTCAGGTATCTCACTTGACCTGAATCCATGGGTTTACCAGATTACGTGTTTATCATACAAAAGCTTTATCTAACAATGCACATTTTGAATAGTTGTTTTTTCAATGTTTCCTCAGCCAGACTTCCAACGATCATTATACATGTAGATAAAGAACAAGCAACATATTTACATAATATAGCTATTATGCTGCAAGGAATTGATTTATTTTTATTATGTTAGGAATATCCAAATATTAAGTTTCCTTTCTTATGCTGTTGTTAAAATAGCATAAAATTCTAATTACATTGTTAAGACTAATACCAAGATCAGTGAAGTGACAGCCATTTCCAACCTAAAATACAAGCTTAAAAACCACAGTGCTGGATACACTTTTAAATATATAGCATATTTTGTAAGACTAAGAAAAAAATTAAATAAGCCTGTTAAATGATCGAGAAGATAGACAGTATTTGCTTCAGAGTAAGTGGAATACTTTCAACCATAGAAAATATCATTTGGCACAGAATCACTTAATTTGACCCAATCTTTTTGGTCCTGGCATAGTTTGCATATTACTGCTTTTGTACGGGTTAATTATTTTAGCAACAAAGTACCAGAAATTCTCTTTTCACACACCCCCTCTCCCTCAAGGCTACAAACAAGACATAAAAGTTGATGTTAACTGTTACAGAAATGAATCAGTCTCACAACAGTTGCACCAGCTCTGAAGGTGACTTGGAAAATCCATCAATTTAAGCAATATGTATCAAATGCTCCCAGCAAGAACAGAGTAATGAGAAACAGTTCAACACACTGCTTTTTACAGGAAATAAAAAAGAAGAATAGACATTTTTCTCACCCAGTGTCATCAAACCTTAATTATTAAATTGCCTATTCCTTTTAATGTGATGGCACAGCAAGCATCAGATTACAAACACTGCTGGATTATGGAGCCTCTAATGACTGGGGGAGAACGGAGGATGCCAATTTTATGACCATTTACAGATGAAAAAAAAAAATGTTTAAGTCTCTTATGCTTTTTTGAGATGGCATATTCCAGACAGCATTATGAATAAACACTTACCTGATCCTCCATTCAGTGTACACCAACTTCTCCAGTGTGGTTCAGTGGTCAGTACATCAACACCAACACAATCTATGTTAGGATGTCATGATGGAGCTGAAACCAGTGACCCTAAAGGGTCTAGATGTCACAGGACCTAAGGAAGAGATATGTGAACTTTTATACAGCAATGTACTGTATGGTCTCAAAATCTAGTAACTAAGAACATACAGCTCATACTGATAAGGACAATGGCATTTTTGGTAATTTATGTTAAGGTAGATTCCCAACATATTTCCCACAACACAAAATAAATCCTATATTAAAAACCAAGAAAAATCCCAGTTCATTAAGGTTGCTAAGCCAAGAAATAAAAATTAGGAATTGCCAAAATTAAAGTTGCCTTGGTAACTTTAAATTTCATTGCTTTGTGTGTATATACTCCGCGCTCACTAAACAATAAATCCAGGCTAATGAAGCACTACTCATTCAGCACACTGAATTTTGGAAAAATTATGGGGCAGGGGGGGGAACTGTACACAGTCAAGTCAGGCAATTGAAGATTTTGCAAGTGTACCCAACTCACACAGAAAATGAGTGTTTGACGTTGCAAACTTTATTGCAAGTTTTCTTTACTTTTTTGTGGGTTTTTAAAAACATGTTAAACATATTTTAGGCTTTATTTTTTGAAACACAATACCTAAGAAGTTAAAATATAAATTCCAGATTTCACAATGGAGAATTATATTTGGACAAACTGGCATTGCTGAAACCCTTAGACATACAAGAAACTTCTGATGCTTGAGCTAATTGCCATTTGAGTAATGACAGCAATAGTAAATAGAAGTGATTATGTACCCTGTTAGTTTAATGCTGGTTCACAATGTCTGACACTCTAAATCCTTTCTGTTCACTTCAAGTCACCCTGTTGCCCAAGTTATTTCCATTCTCTGAGACTCTCCACTGTTTTTTTCTCTGCCCACTATGCCCTGTCCCAGTAGCAGTTTTCCTAACGTGCCAAATCCTGCTCAAGTTCATCTCGTTATCTCATCATGTCCTCTAGCAACTTCTCGCAGGTTTTCCAGACCCACTGGTCTTTAGTACCCAACTCTTTTTATATGCTCTCTGTGAAAGAATTAGAAACCTTTGCAGCCAGGCACCAAAGAAAACTTGATTCCTGTCCCAGCCTCCCTAAAACAGTCCATCACAGTTAGCTTCCTGCAGTAAGGTATCTTCACTGTTCACTGCATTTTCCAGAGGCTGTGAAGAGGCCAAATCTCGACAGGCTTTTGCATCAGGAGCATGCCTTTCATCTATTCTAACAGAAGGCACCATCTGAAAGAGGCTTAGACCTCTCCTGCAAGTCATGGACTATTAGGGCTTTTTAAATAAAAGGTATCCACAGTCTTACTGGTTCCACTTGAAAACATTATGAACATAAATTTTTCCCTGATATGCATTGTAGAAAATTGGTTGAACCATTCTGATTGATCTGTTTTTGAAAGAAAAGTATCAGCTGGAGGCAAAGAACAACAGGAGAAATTTCAGCCACCACAGTTCAAATAAACAAATAAGCAAGACAGGATAGCAATTGAAAATGTATCTTTTAAACAAGCAACAACATTCGTAACAAAGGAAAGCATCTAGAGGAGTAAAAAAAAAAATGAAGTGCTGTTTTATAACACTAAATATGAAGTATGCAGTTAAAATACAGAAGTCACAGACATGCAGGCATATGTTATGCATTGATTGAAATTCTGTTTTCAGAGGAAGGAGCCCTCCTGGGGAAAGTATATATCAGGATGAAAAGGAACTGCTGCTACAGACGTATAGCCTCTACCACTATTAAAAGATAAATTACAAAATAAAATTTGATGGTGTAAGAATGCACAGCTCCCCCCCCCATCCTGGCCTTTTCTTCACTCTGCAAGAGACAAAGCTGGATAAAGTCCTTTGAAAGTAGCTTTAGAATTTAAGAAGCATTGAAGTTAGCCATGATTATTGCACATTTGTTGGAACTAAAGTAAAAAGATATTGATTGATGGACTACTATACATTTCCCCACCAGATTCACCCTGCTTTAGTTAACGAGATTAACGCAAAACAGCAGTCAGAAATCAGAGACGCAGGGACAAGCTTCTCCACGCAGCTCTGTTCTAACCATAAGTCTAGGACTTTGTAGGTCAAGGTCTGAAGAAGTGGAACTGCTAACAGTATTAACTGCAACATGCACTTCTGACATCATTAAATGTCCAAAAAGGAACCAGAAAGAGACCAAACTTGGTCCAAAAAAGATCTGAAATGTAGATTGAATCTGGCTGGCCACCATTCAAAGTGTTACAATTTTGGTGTTATTCCAGTCACACTGACAAAAAGCTAAAGTGAGAAAAGCTTCAGACATGAAGCATCCTTCAGCTTGGATGTTTCAAGCAGTACAGGAGCCCCCAACTCCCAAGTGAAGGGTACAGTTTAATAACAAAAAGCCCCACAAAAAAACTGTGAGGTAATAGAGTCTTCCTTGTATGAAGCAAGAATCACTACCTATTGCACATGGAAATAAAGCTCTCACTGATTAAAATGGAGCAAGACTGATGAAGGAAGATAAACTTGCTGCTACTAACTTAACTTCCTTTTAAACACAACAACTGGTTATCCAACCAAGCAATTATCAATTGCCAAAATAAGCCCATCAGAAACTTAAATTAACATTCAAAAAATATATAAACCCCAAGCATTTCATGTCCTGCATCTAGATTCCCTGCATTGAGTGGCGTTGACATCTTTTTCTCCTCTACCTATTTAAACAGCTGCTCAGCTGTGAGCTCCATGCAGCTGCTACAACCCACTGCCAACAGCCTTTGAAGATGGGCATCCTTGTTTAGTGCCTTCAGGCAAACTGCAAGAAGTCCCTAATCCTTTTAGCCCCCTTCAAACCACAGTTTTAATCTAGTTTAATGAATTTTAAAGCCTTCTTCCACTAATTAAAACAAATGTACATGCACTTGCATTAAGCAAATATTTAGTAAATTCACCTCCATTCTATGAAAGCAGACAGAAATAAAACATTTCATCAGAAATCCAGTACATTTACAGTATTTACAAAGCATGTGTTGAACTTTAAGCAGTTGAAAAAAAAAGTAAGAGAGACTTACTGAAGGAAGGGAGGTGGGAATAATAATAATAAAAAAAAAAAAAACAAAAACAAAACAAAACACAAAACCAGAAAAATCCACCTACATTTGGAAAAAAAGTCTCTCTCACATCTAGTACATGGGTGCAGTTTGAAACTATAACCATGGCTGCGCAGATACTTGTAGACCTTAACCCATTCCTTAGCTGTATTAAAAGCCACAGTTTGTTATAACAGGTTAAAATCGGATTAAATACATTCATTTAAAATAGAAGAAATACATTGCTCCACATTAAACAATTATTAACAAAGAAATTAAAACTTAACGCCAATGTAGTTTTAAAGTGGTTTGTGCTTATTTAAACAATGTAAGGCTGAATTTGGCCAAGATGCACAGTAGTTCAGAAGAAAGAGCAATTTTTAATTATGAAGACACAATTTGACCATGGGGGCTCTGGCAGCAAAAGCAAGGTTTGCTCAGCTCTAAGAATTCTCAATGCACTCCTCTCCTCCAATGTCAAAACAGAACAAAAAAAAAAAAAAAAAAAAGTCAGGATAACAAGCAGTACTCGAAGATTCCAAACCACAATTTAAAGTGAGTTAGCAAAACAAATACTTACAGTGGAGTTACTGTGATATGACTTATGGAGCATATGAAATATATTGAAGGAACAGATACTTAGGAAACATCAAAATACCCAAGCTTCAAAGACTTATTTTTAGTGGTGAGATGTCATACACTTTACTTGTCCATTTTCTTCTAAGCACACCTGCTGACAGTCTAAATTTGTTCTGGAGAAGGTGCTGCTTGGTGGTTGCGGGTCTTGCATAGAAGATTTCTGTTTAATGGGAAATGCAATCAACACCACTAACTCTTTCCTGTAAAGGCTTTAATATAAAAAAAGAAAATCACCCAACTTTGTAGCAACTTCTGGGCTCTTTTTTAAGGTTTAAGATTCAAAGACCAAAAATGATGACAAGCAGCATGCTTAGTCTTTCAGGTCTTTAACTCTGATGCAGATGGTAAACTGTCAATATTTGCATAGCCTGTATAGTGAGAACTGTTTTCATTTAGACAAGTAAACAACAAATAACCTTGCATAATCACATACAAGAATCTCTCAGTGTGACAAGTTGATAACTTTGTACTAAATAAGAAATTAAGAAGAAACGTTAGTATACCCTACCAAAGAGTGTTTCAGTAATTTGTACATTTTTTTCCACTAACCAGTTAGGCTTTCATGTAGGTTACAAGCTATAACAAGCATACTGTAGCAAATAATGCTAGCAGTTACAGCTAAAACTTGACACTAAGTTAAACACAAGTTTAGTGCTAAGAAGCCACAATTAAAACTTATTTCAAAAACTATCCCCATTGCAAACATACACCCATTGAATCACCTCCACAAGCACAATAAATTGGCAGACAACAGTTCTCTCTAATGTTAGAGTAATACTTTAATGTTAGAGTAATACTTTAATGGAGTGAAACATCTGAGATGTACTAGGAAGCTGAAGACTTCTCAAAATTTCTTTAATGTTTCTTCTTCACCTCAAAAATGTATAGAAATTAGCACAGTGTTAAATAGATACTTAGAAAGGCTTCATTTGCTCACATTTATCACAAAAACGCAAACAATATTCAAAACAAATATAAAATATTTACAATTCTGTAATACTATCAATAGCTTAAAAAGTTGCTAAGTATTTAACCTACTAAAATGTTCAACACAAAGCTAAAATTAAGTAAACTTTCTGCATATAACAGTGAATGGTAAGTTATCCTCTTCAAAATTCACTGTCCCCAGATGCCATGGAAATTGTCAAAAAAGTATCACAGAAAACCTAGTCGCAGGTTATTTTCTTACTACAGTTGTAAGGCAGATAGATTTCACCTTCCCTCCTCCCCAAAAAGAAAGGAAAGTACTCATTCAAAAGACAATTTATAACTTGTCAATATAAAAGAGTTCTCCTTTGACTTAAAAAAACTTTGTATAAACACTCACAAATCTTTCCCCTCTGGTATGTCTTCTCTATTTTGAAACACTGTGAATTTCAGCTGTCTTTCTATGTGCTCTCCTTCCTAATTTCTCAGAGAAAAACTTTAGACTGGACTGCAGCCCTGTCAGCTTACAGTTACATACAATTAAGTGGAGACACTGCCTGTTGTTGTGAAGTAAACAGGATACGAATTTTGCTGTTAGTTCTAAAAATGACTCTTTTTAAAGTAACTTTTCCTGCAGAAGTTCTGCAATAACCTTCTACAAAAATTCTATCTCCTGCCCCTTTAATCAGTAAAAACTCAGAACCACCCCACCTATCCCAAAGACAAAGACAACTTCAAAATTAGACTGCACAACACACAGTCTAATCTAGACCCTTCAAAACCTACACTGCAACACAGATGCAATGCTCTGCCTGGCTACAATCACAGGAAACCCTGTTATTCCACATTCCCTGATACTCCTAACACAGCCTGTTTTCTTATCTGATCACTGCCACAAACTCCAGAGCACTCCTGTGAGCCATCATCTTATTTCACAGAAATTTCCTGGGTTTGCACTGGCCTTACTGAACAATCAGAACCAAATCCATAGTTCAACCCAGACAGGAAGAATTTGGTCTTTATTAGAAGTAGCAGCCATGGAAGCTTTGCTAAAATCAATCAGTCACTGGCATCACCTGCAACACCACATGGTTAAACAGAAAAATGCATTTGTACACAAATCTTTCAAGATTTTACCTACAGACTTGAAGGTAAGCACTAAATGCACAGCTTTATTAAGGGCAAAACACTTGCCAATAGTAACAGGAGGAACATTTTTACGTTTTTCCCTCTTTGCTCAAATAAAGTACAATTGGTACAAAAGCAACATTTGTAGTCAATGCAAAGGAGAACCGCACTAGAATACCAGAATTATGTCCTTTCATGATTTAAGAGACACAGATTATGCTACTCTGCCAAGGTCCTCCATTTATAAACGGAGATAATATTTAGCCATTATCAGTGACACAAAACTTAAAGATAAAAAGCATTAACCTTGCTAAAAGTACCTTTACAGTAATGCTCCAGAGCCACTAAAAAGCTAGTGATATTAAAATCATTGGAATATGATGGTCAACTACTCCTAGAAACATTCAGAATCCACAATATGAGACAGGATTTTACAGAATGAACATCAACAAAAAGTGAACACTTACACCGCTTTTTAGAAATTCTGCAATTCTTTTATTTTCTTTGTTTAAACTGTTATGAAGATGTTTTCCTGTAGCATCTCATGACAGAATTTACAGCTCATGCTGAAACTCTCTGATAAATTTTGCACTGATCAAATAAAGTTATGTGCACTGAAAAGTTTATAGCTGAAGCAATTATATGAGAATAAAAATTAAAATCTGACTTACTGGTAAAATCACTGTGTAGACATTTAAACATATCCTGATAACGGCAAGCTACACGAAGATTTCTTATCCATTCAAATTCAAAAGATTATGAATATATTGTGCACTGAAAGAGATGGTTTCCTCCAATGGCTGTTTCTGTGCATCTTCCAGGCTCATTGTGACATAAAAACACCTTCTCAGATGAGGCACCAGTAGGTTTCTTTTATCCTCTTGTGTGATTTTAAATGATTTTCCATTAAGTCCCACTCAGTCACACACAATAAACACATCTGAAGTCACGATCGACATCATGACTCTTGTCATGGATTTTATGAGCATCTTTCAGCTTCAGTGCAATGCTGCACACATTGCAGAAATGCTGAGCTCTGTCAGAAGCCAGCTTTAAGGCGCAAGCATCCTTCACAGGATGAGCTGACCCTTTATTGCCACATGTAGCTTTCCTCTGATTTTTGTAATTTTTACACCTTGACTCAGCTTTAAGTGTTTTTACCTCCCCAACTAAGGTCTGACTTCTAACACTGGAAACATGACAGAGGCCAAGCGGCACACGCTGGGCTGCTTCTTGATCTTTGCTCTTGGAATATGAAAGAGAAGCCAGCACAACAGAACAAGGCTCCTCAAGCTGCAAACAAGCTGCTGCTTCTCCAAATAAGGTGTTCACTTCACAGGAGTGAGAGGCATGAGGATTACTGCTCTGATGGCTTGGGCTCATGTCACAGCAGTGAGGACTGATATTTTGAGACATCTAATATACAGGTAATAAGACAGGCTTTTTTTTCCAAGATTTTCATTCGTTTTCTTTATTTTCTTGGTCAGCTTCATCTCCCATGCTATATGACTCACTTGTATCTTGGTCCATTTTAGGACAGCCTGAAATTCGACATGCCATATCTGTTTCATGCATATGAGCCAGATGTGTCCTGATCTTAATTTTGACACTGCTCGGGAACTGGCAGAGCTTGCACCTGTAATACCTCCACCAGAAGCATTTCCACCAGGCTGGCAATCCGGGCTTCAAATCCCTCAAGCTCAGCAGCATATAACGGGGATATGTGATTTCCTTGGGGCGATACAGGTCCATTGACAGAACACATTGGTATTTATATTTAAATTCATTAATTTCCCGTGGTTTCTGGCAGATAAATCTACAAAAGACAATAAACAAAACAGTTAAAATCCACTTTATGATTTCAAATGTCTTTTATCAAAACTCTTGGCCACAATGAAATCTAGATTCAGATTCCATTCCTAGGGATGTACGCAAATTTTAAGACTATCTGAAAGAAGTGAGGATTTTTCCCTGAGGAAAATGATGCCATAAATGATTACTCAAATCACCTGTTTACATTTAACTACAGATTAATAATATTACAGCGATTTTCGTGTTAAATTTACAACAGTTCCTGTCAAGAGACAAGATGTATTAACCTGAAAGCAAGGAACGCTGGTGAGAAACCTGCACCGCTAACACACGGAGGCCTCCGGTCCAACAACCGTTTACCAGCGTGTTCCCTCAAGGCAGCCCAAGTCCCGCCGACCCTTCCCCTGCGGCTCGGTTCCAGACGGAGCCCGGGAGAGCAAATTAACGGGCGCAACACCTTACAAGACGCGCCGGGTGCCTGCCGTGCCGAGACGCCTGGAGACCTTCCCCCACCGCTGAGCGGCGGGAAGCGGCGAGTTTCTCTGAGGAGACGCCCGGGGCCGCGGGAGATGAAGGGGCGTCGCTGCAAAGGCAGGTGTCGGGGCCGACCGTAGCCGCCACCCCCCCCCCCAACCCTCGCTCCGCCTCACCCGGCGGCGGCGGCGGCGGCAGCAGCTGCGATAGAGGCAGCGGCCCCGCTCGCCCCCGCTCCCGCCGCCGCTGAGGGGACTCGGGGGCGGAGCTACCGCCCCGCTCCCTGACAGGGGCCCGCGGTTCACTTCCGGCTGCCCCCCCCCTCCCTCCCCCCGCGCCTCCGCGCGCGCGTGCGCCGCGGCCCCGCGTCTCCCTCAGCGGCAGCGAAGGAGTTTGGAAGTTCAAAATGGCCGCCGCGGCGGAACCCGAGCTGCGAGCGCCCGAGTAAGAGACTGGCTGGGAGGCTCCCTCTCGCCATGGCGCCTCCGGGGTTGGGGGGAGGGAGGCGGAGGGATAAAGCGCGGGATGAGGCGGCGGGGCGGGGGGAAGCGGGAAGGACGGAGAAACGGCACCGGGTGGAGGTGGCGAAGGAGATGTGGGGGGGGGGGGGAAGCGGCCGCTCCGGGTTGCTGTAGGGGCCGCCCTGCCGCTCACCGGGGCGGGGAGGGGAGGGGGGGAAGGACGGGGCCTCCCGGCGGTGAGGGGGACGGGGAAGGGCGCGCGGGAGGAGGAGGAGGAGGAGGAAGGGGGGGCGGGGGGAGGGGAAGCGGAGCCGGGACCTGCAGGCGCGTGTCCTCAGTTCCGCGTGCGCCTTCCCGCCTCGGGGGGGGCGGCTCCTCCCGCCCCGTTCCCGCCGCCCCTCACCGGGGAAGCGGGCCTGCGGCGGCAGGAAGCGGGCGGGTGGTGTGGGTGAAGGGGGGTGTTATGCCCTTCCTCGGCGTGGTTTTGAGGCCGCTGCCCCCCCACCCCCCCGCTCCGGGTGGGTGCCTGGCGGCGCTTGGGCACCCCTGAAGCAAAACCGGGCCCGGAGCTCCCCGGGATCCGACGCCGCCACCGCGGTTCTGGGGCCGGAGCCGGGCCAGCGGGTGCCTCGGTGCGAGCCCCTCCGCCTGCCGCCGCGGCGGCGGCGAGCCCCCCTCCCCCGAGTGCCCGCCGGGGCGCTCTCGCGTTATAAAAAAAAAAAAAAAAAAAAAAAAAAAAAAGTGCCGTTGTGCCTGGTGGAAGCGAAAAAACACGATTTGTTGCCGCCAGCCCCTCCTTTCAGCCCTCGAAATGACTGGCAACTCCCGGCTCCCGGTGGGAAGCGAAGAGCGAACTGCCGCCTCTCCGCCGGAGCGGGGCTCCCGGGGTGCGTTTCCCTGGCACCCCGGTTAGCGTCGTGAGATTTAGGTTTGTCAACGCTCACGAGCTCGTGAACGCTTTCTTCTCCAGAACTTTTGCTCAGAGTTGACAACCTACTCGCTTTATTGCTCCTTTTCACTACATAAGTATTTTAGCCATATAAACTGCTTTATGTATTTTTTTTCTGCCTTAAAAAGTTGTGATTTGAGGGTTGTTTTTTTTATTAGTTAATCTTTAGAGTAGAAAACAGGTGAGGAAAAGCAGTGGAAGTACACGTGAACTGTATAAAACACATACAGAAGAGAGTTTAGTAGTGTATATAGAGAAACCTAACTAAGAGTAGTAAGGTAAAAACTGATGACAGGAAGCCCAAATGTAGCTGAAATCTTTTGACAAATCTTCATGAACTTCCTATCGTTCTTCTTGAATTCAAAAGTAAGGAAAAGTGGGGCTGTAACAAGGTCATGTCATGGTTCCTCTGTGAAGCCATCTTCTTAAAAGGTTTCTCATCCATGTCATTACACCTCTGAAGCATTTAAATGACGTAAAAGTTTATCCATGTTTTGAAGGAATTATTGGAAATAAACAGATTCCTGTACATGAAGAAACTCTGAAATATTTCATGCAGAGTAATGAAGTGAATATAATTTCATAGTTGAGGTACAAATGCAAAGAAAGCTGGCAGTTGTGTTAGCTGTCTGGAGTGATTGAAAATCCAAGTTGAAAAACTTCTAATACTTTTTCTTTCTTTTTTGTGTCTTTTGTGCTAAATGCAACGTAGACCAAACTCATTTTAGGGTGGTTCGTCACCTTTCTGATATTCTGTTGTAATGGTGTGGAGTGTCAGGAAGAAGCCATTAATAAAAACACCCTTCTTTCTGTGTGCTTTGAGTAAGCCGAAGTAGTGGTAAAAATGTTGAAGAAAACCATACAGCGTTCTGACTTATGTCTGAATATTGCATATTGTTAACTAAAACAGTCTGTTCCCTTAGGAAGTTTCTAATCTCAGAGCAATAAAGTGTTAATGGTTTTAGCAAATAATTTTAGTGTATGTGGCAGAAAAGTCCAGATTATTTACCAGTTCTAGAATTTGCATTAACTCAAGCAGGAGAGAATCAGTAGCCACACTGTTTGAAGATCTTATCCTTAATTAGGAAGACACTAATAGAATTTATAGTGAAATGCCATCCTTTAGGCCTGACTTAGAATACCTCTGATATGTTTTTTCTATTGGATCATTGATCATATTCTTCAGAAACAACTCTCTTATGAAACTAGTAGAGGTCGGAAGATATTTCTACATTTCTATGTGCATTCCCCCACCGTTCCTACCCATCGTGGTTAGGGAATTTCTTTTCAGTGAATGAGGCTCGGGATACAGAAAGAGCTATATTTAAGTTACTAAAGTGTTAGCTAGTAAATTCCGAAACTGTAGTTTAGGTGGGATGAATTTGTAGAAAGGTGAACTCTGGTATCTATAATATTTAGCAACATATTTCAAAAGGCAAATGTTTGTCTTGCCACAGACTGTAACTTAAGTGATGTTCTGAAGGAGATCAGGAGATACTTGCTAAACACTGTAAAAAACCTACTGGTAAGCCAGTTTCAGCGTCTAAGGAAGGTGATATAAGTAAGTGTATAACATCAGGACTGAATTTTAAAATTTTTGAAGTTCACTGTTTACATTGCTGGTTGCTGTGATTAGCTAATTGAAATTATTTTTTTTCTTCCCGGAGGAAACTAAGCACTTTATTGTTTTGATAACCTACTGTAGGCTTATTTTCTGCCTTTTGGCCAATGCCATTTGACAGGTTTGAAGATTACCGCTTTTTTCTTGGGAAGCTGGTAGTCTGCTGTATACTATCAGAAAGCTTTTCTGATATTAGACTTACTTAATTTATCCTGTTCCTTAGTGGTGTGCCCTGTGTTGCATAAATAATATAAATGCATGATAAGAACAGCTTTTGATTTTCAAACGGGTGCATGCACTTACAGAAAGAAATTTCAGTCAACTCTGTGAGATTTTGCAAGATGATTTCATTAAGTGGTCAGTGTCATCCCTTGAAATAAGTTTTGATCTTTGGAGCACAACTGTGTTCTGCCATTTGAAAATACTTTAAAAAGGCTTGGGCTAGGCATCAGGCTGGAGCAGCGGTAAGATAGATGATGAACTGACAGGATGCATAAATATGCAGCACTTTTGTCTACTGTTAACAGATATTGTAAGTATTGAACCTAAAAGCATAAGCATTGATTTCACCCACACGTTTTGTTTTGTTAATGCATTTGCTGTAGCTTCCTTCCATAGTATTTCTTTTGCAGTCATAGCTCTCTGTTCATGAGGAAGTGTATCTGCTATCCTAACTTAGTTACATTAGTCGTACATTTTTAATTCTCCCAAAGGTAGGTCATTAAATGTCAGTTAGTTTCTATTGTAAAAAAGACTGTCAACACAGGATTAAATACTGCAGTGAGTTGATAGTACTGATCTGTAGTTTTTATTTTTTGCAGGGTTGAAGATGCTGATGCATCTGAGAGAAGTGTAAATGAAGAAAATGGCGAAGTATCAGAGGCAGACCAACCTCAGAACAAACACAGCCGACACAAAAAAAAGAAACACAAACACCGAAGTAAACATAAGAAACATAAACATTCTTCAGAAGAAGATAAGGACAAAAAACATAAACACAGACACAAACATAAGAAACATAAACGGAAAGAGGTAGCTGATACCTCTGACAAAGAAGATGGACCAGCTAAAAGAACTAAAATTGATTTTTTAGCTCCTCTGGAAGACTTGGAGAAACAAAGAGCATTATTGAAAGCTGAACTTGAAAATGAATTAATGGAAGGAAAAGTGCAGTCTGGGATGGGTTTAATATTACAAGGTTATGAGTCAGGATCTGAAGAAGAGGGGGAGATCAATGAAAAAGTGCGAAATGGAACGAGACCTACAGCTAAGTCAAACACTAAGGGGAAATTAGAACCTGTGGACAATAAAACTAGTTCCAAGAAAGGAAGTAAGAGTGAATCAAAAGAAAGGACTAGGCACAGATCTGACAAAAAGAAAGGCAAGCTAGGAGTTGATGGAATCAAAGAGAAGACAACTAGAAGCAAGTCAAAAGAGAGGAGGAAATCCAAAAGCCCTTATAAGAGAAGTAAGTCTCAAGATCAGACAAGGAAATCTAGGTCTCCAATGCTTAAAAGGCGATCTCAGGAGAAAAACAGAAAGTCTAAGTCTCCCCCAGAGGACAGAAATAAGGCTGATGATAAAAGTAAATCAAGAGATCGCAGGAAGTCTCCGGTTGTAAATGAAAACAAAAGCAGAGATCGTGGCAGAAAATCTAAATCTCCAACAGAACTACGAAGCAAATCCAAAGATAGAAGATCACGGTCCAAAGATAGAAAACCTAGGAGATCAGAGACTGACAAAGAAAAAAAGCCAATTAAATCTCCTTCAAAAGATGCTTCTTCAGGGAAAGAAAACAGGTCCCCTAGACGACCTGGCCGTAGCCCAAAAGGAAGAAGCTTATCTCCCAAACAACGTGAAAAGTCAAGAAGAAGCAGATCCCCTCTCTTTAATGATCGTAGATCTAAACAGAGTAAATCCCCCTCTCGAACCCGGTCTCCGGTTAGAAGAGTGAGGAGTAGGTCTGCAGAAAGGAAAAGAAGAGAATCAGAAAGGAGGCGTCTTTCCTCTCCCAGGTAACTTAAAGATGGCAATGAACCATTGCAGAAATGCATTACAGGATGAACTGTCTTCTAGTTTGGTGTTCATCTCTTTGTTTTATTCTGAAGAGAGCTATTAAGAAAGGTAATCAGGTTGGGCATTATATTATGAGCTTACTTTGTATCTATTCAGTTTTTTAAAAATACTCCCCCCAGCTGTCAGACATGCAAATTCAGCTTTGGTTGTTAAAGTCCTGAGTTATTTGCTGCTCACACCATTAGTGGGAAAAAGTTTTGTAGCTCAGGTTCTCCTTTTTGTCACATGCTCGGATTCAGAATTCGGCTTCTATTTTGTTTCTTAGTTAATAGTTCTGTTGCTTTCAAGAATTTCTGTGGAGTGAGAGTCCCTTTCACTCTTAAATATCAGTGTTGGCTAAAAGTGGGTAATTAACCCCTTTTCCCCCTCAGAAAAAACCCTGATAGAGCCAGCATGTGTGAATGTACGAAAATCTTTTATATCAAGATGTCCTTCTCCCAGTCATTTTTTTCTTAAACATATTTTTCATTTGCTAGAGGCATGGTAGTACTGCTTTGTTATTGGTCTGTAGTGTATCTTTACCATATTTTGCATACACTTGAAGGAGAAAGACTAAAATCTTTGTAATGTATTTTTAGTCTTGGCATTTTTTAAAAAAGACAATTTAGCCTATGAAAGCAGTTACCTTGAAATGTAATATAAACTGTGAGACAACAATTACTTGCATATCCTTCTCTGAAGCTGTTAAGGTCTGGATAGTAAGTTCCCAAGCAGACAACAATATAAGTATATACATTTTTGGAAGCTAATTAATTAAATGTAAGAAGCTCGGCAGGCAGAGGAGTTCAGCATTACTTTTGTATAATGAATAATTTAAAACTTTTTATCATGGGGTTTAGCTCCACCCATTCGAGAATTCATACTTCTTTGTTCTTAATTTAAAATTGTGCATTGGAACCACAAAGATCTAGCTCAGTAAATAAGCACGTAATAAATGTGAAAGTCTTTCTGGCTGCATCACTGAAGGTTACTCTGGTTGCAAGCATGGCGTATCTGCTACAGACGCATTATCAGCTTATTCGTCTGTACTACTGCTTAGCAATACAGCAGGTACTTTGGAGGATGGCCCCAGTGGTGTTAACCAGATTAAGCAAGTATTGTAAGCGCTAGCAGTTTATCTGACTGCTTTCTGGTGAATCAGGAATGTATCAGCATGACCCCACCTGGAGTCCTGTGTCCAGCTCTGGGTCCCCCAGCCTAAGAAGGGCATGGACCTGTTGGAGCGGCTCCTGAGGAGGCCACGAAGATGATTGGGGTCTGGAGAACCTCCCTGATGAGGCCAGGCTGAGAGAGTTGGGGTTGTTCAGCTTGGAGAAGAGAAGCCTCTGGTGAGACACTGGCCCAGGGTGCTCAGAGAAGCTGTGGCTGCCCCCTCCCTGGAAGGGTTCAAGGCCAGGTTGGACAGGGCTTGGAGCAACCTGGGCTGGTGGAAGGTGTCCCTGCCTGTGGCAGGGGGCTGGGACTGGATGATCTTTAGGGTCCCTTCCAACCCAAACCATTCTGTGGTAGTACCTGACTTTTCTTCCTTAGTATTTTGCATCTTTCAATTTTCATTTCTCATGACAGCTTGAATTGTAGTCAGTTTGAATTAGTTGTCTAGACATTATTTCAAGGGATGCGTGTGTCTAGAATTTTGCTATCAAATTCATACTTTTGTAACACCACGATGAGCAGCATGCGAGTGGGGGACTACCAAGAAGTATTTTCTGCTGGAAGCGTTTTCGAGTCAGCAGGAATAATCTTTCTTTATGGGACATCCTGAACGAACTCCAACTATGTTGAAGTTTTAACTACCTGTTATTACTGAGGCTGCCAGAGAATTTCAGGAGCTTTAACAAACAGTTCTAACCTAATATTCCCAGTAATTTTATTTTTCAAGCTTGTTTCCCATGTTCAAACCACGTAAGATACTTCTCCAGTCTTTGACTGAAGTTACTCATTGTACGATGTTACTATGAATTTTTAGTCAGCTTCTACTTTTTAGCTCATACCTGTGATCCTGGAGTGATTTTTTTTTTTTTTTTTTTATTTTTTTTTTTTTAAAAACAGCTCTTTTGGCAGCAAAACCACTTTGTTAGCCAGGAAACCTGGAACTGTCAGTTCATCCTGTGACTTTTTTTGTAATACTGTTCATGAGAATATAATATAAATTAAGTGGGTTAATGGGATCAGCCTATTCCAGCATTTGAGTCTACAGTAATTTCTTGTAGAAACTGCTAGTACTTCTGCATGTGCATAAATTTGTCTTCTGTCCCACTGCTTACTATTTTGCATCAGTTATGTATGCCTGGTCATTATACGTGGTTAAGGTAACTGAAGCTGATATAGCAGTCTCAAAACAAACAAAAAACTATTACAGAATGGGTAAATTAGTCTTTCAGACCCAAGAGATTTTGTTCATTGATGAGATATAACACCTACAATAACTTGTCCCAATTTGATTTAAAAAAAAAAGGGGGGGGGGGGGGGGGGGGGAGGGGAGAAATAGAGTGGCAACATTTTCTTTGAACAATGGTGTGGAAATATTTTCCAAGAAGGTCTGTTGCAGCCTCATTAGAATAATTTTTAAATATTTTTAACTTCAATCCTGTCCAGTTTTTCATTGAAGTCTTGCTGTCATGGAATGCAATTAAGCTTTTTAATGTAGTTGTCTCATCAAGGATTTTTTTTTCTTGAATAGTTGTGAATCTGTGTAGACAAGAATGAACACATTTGGAATAGTATATAGTGTCAAACTTGAGTTATTTTTTAATTTGAGAAGGGTTAGTTTACAAGTTCATTGAGAATTTTAGTTTTCAGCTGCTGTATTAGAATGTGTGAAATGTTGAAGCTGTCCAGATCTAGTGCCCAAATTGAAATAGACATTGAAGTAATTGCTGTGGAGTGGCATGGTCCTAAATTTCAATACTGTGTTGTAAAGTTGCTGAGAAAATTCTCAAGAAACAGTTTCTGGGTTGTATTTATTGTTTAAATAATGTTTCTGGTAAACACAAAAACAGGCCACTATTTGTGTAAGCCCTAAACATAAGCTTTGTTTTAAAACCTCTCTGAGCTTTGTGGTAGTAATTAACAAGCTTCATTTCCAGAGTCGCCCTGAACTAGACCCATGTATGGGCACGTATTTCCCCGGGGTGGGGAGACACACGCAGGAAGGGCAGCCAGCTCTGCAGCGTACTTACCCGTCCCTCCCTCAGAAGCCCATCTGGTGGTCCCTCACCTGCAGTAAGATTTTAAAGTGAGCTTCTAGAGGAAATTGTGATTTTTGTTTTCAGCTTGCTCCTGATTTTACTACCATTCTCTTCTTCTGTTTTAAGAACGCGGACCAGAGATGATATTTTGTCTAGACGTGAAAGATCAAAAGATGTTAGCCCACCCAGTAGATGGTCCCCGTCCAGAAGGAGGTCTCGGTCCCCCATCAGAAGGAGGTCTCGTTCACCCCTTCGACGCAGCCGATCTCCAAGAAGGCGGAGTAGGTCTCCTCGGAGGAGGTAAAGACACGCTGCATTTTAAATACATTTTGTAAAATATTACTAAAAGAATAAAGGTTTCTATCTTTATGTGTAAAAAGACAATGCATTTTTTTGTTCACATTTATATGTGCTAGCATAGTTGAAAAAATTTTGTCCTCCATTAATTAATTCATTTTATTATATGGAGTCATTATGTATCTTTATGTTTTATGAATAGATTTTCCTCCTTTTCTTCAAAAAACCAAACCTGATCAAAACCCAAACCCCTTTCACTGTTACCAGGGATAGAGGTCGAAGAAGTAGATCTCGCCTTCGGAGGAGGTCCAGGTCACGTGGTGGCCATAGACGTAGGAGCAGAAGCAAAGTTAAAGAAGACAAATTTAAAGGTAGTCTGTCTGAGGGTATGAAAGCTGAACAGGAGTCTTCGTCAGATGAAAAGTAAGGATTAATTTCTAACTTGCACTGATTATCTAAAAATACATATCCACTGATACTGAGAATGAACTGACATTTATCTTCACAATACATTTTTTGAGTTCTCACCTAAAACCTTAACTGTTTTAGTACTTGTGATCTTGTCAAATTACTTTTGGGGTGATCTGGAAAACTTTGGAGTATGCAAGAAATATCAAGACATGTCGGCTAGTGGTCAGACCTGAGGGGATGAGATATTGTTACGTTTCTAAATTCAGCTTGATCGGTATCTTGTGAAAATATTTGGTCTGTTTCCTCAGGCTTATTGCTTGAGGAAAAACTGTAATAGCTGAAAGGATTAATTGCTACCTGCAAATTGTTTTTAGATTTGCTAAATACCTACTTTATCAAATTGCACAAGAGTATACATTCTTCGGAAGAGTGATGCTGGAATGAAAATCAACAAGTTTTTTTGTTTGGTATTTCTCTTTAAAAACAGTTATTGTTAATGGGTTGCAGTTAAAAATGAAATACACAAAGTCCCAAAGGGATACCAAAAGAGAAGTTTTCTCTGTAAGGAGATGTAAATATACACACTGGGATTTAATACACCTTTGCTGTCAGCTGAACAGCTATTGTTTAATATATTGTGTGCTTTCTACACCAGAGAACTGCATTTGATAAAATTCAGTAGATAATCTTACATTTATGATGTTGTATAAACAATAATTCAATTTTTATAGTCTTGAAGACTTTGACTTGGAAGAAGAGGATGAAGAAGCAGAGATAAGACAAAGAAGATTACAGAGGCAAGCAATTGTTCAGGTACGTGGTTATATTATCATGTGGGTTACAGAAACTAATTTTGTTTTTCATGTAAGATGTTGTGATAAAGGAAGGCTATTGTCCTATTACTACATTATGATAGTAAATACTATTACTATATTCTTTCCAATTCATTTATTGTGAATGTTAGTTGCAGTTAAGCTTTATAATTCCATTGCAGCAGCATCACTTTTAAGACTGAAGTGACTCTTCTGTGAGTCATTTATGTGCTAGTTAGAAATTTTCTGGCAGTCCTACTACATGTTAAAAATGTTCTTCAATTATCCTAATCTGTAGGTCTTCTTTGTAGCTGTATCGTTGATATCATAACATCAATATAGCATTAAGTTACCTATCAGTTATAACCTAACTGGTCAGTTCTCTTCAAGTAGAAGCTGTCCTTCTCCATTTCCAAAACTTCATAAAGCCACTGACATGGGTTCCCCCTTCACGAATGTAGATAGTGTATTTAGTTACATATGTGAGTTCCCATGAACTACTTATTCCTGGTAAGAAAGTTACAGTGGTGACAGGTAATACGTAACTCAGACCCCTGAAAGGGAGCTGTGGCCAAAAGGGATGTGATTCTACAGCACAAGTCAGGTGTCTTTTTTTAAAGTTGGGATTTGGCACACTGTTAGATAAATAGTAGGCAAAACACTGCAGCATATTTACTTAATATCTAGGTATAAGAACACCAGTTATAATGTGCTGCTTATTTTAAGTGGCACTAAAAATACTGTTCACCATTTGACTTTTATGCAAACCCCATTGTAAAATCCCTCAGAACTGTGACTGAGCAAAACCGTATAAAGTAAATTATTTTTAAAGGCCGGTTACGCCTGTTGTTGGTCTATGTCCAGAAGCAAATTCCAGAGTTTCATTCCCTAAATGGCAAACCTCTGCTTGTATTATCGAATAGTTCAACCTTGATAACTGAGTGGTATCACCATTTATTAATTTTGATGTTTATCTTTTGGGAGAGGAAGTGACATTTGCATAATTTCATACTACTTACATTAAAGAAAAAAAATTTGTAAAGGTGTTGTCTTGAACTTTTATAATATATCTGAAATTTTTCAAAAAGAATGAATAAACGGGATTTGCAATTCAAATAAAAAGCCTGAATTTAAAAATCACTTTTCTGTACCATAACAGTAATAAAAATGAGAAAGATTATAGTATGTAAGATCCAAAATCGTTAATTTTTCCTGAAAGACTTTATTTCAATACTTGTGTGCCAGAATGATTTAGTAGTAAATCTATCGCTACTGACATTTTGTCACGCACAACAGAGTAGTTAATCTTCAATAAAAATCACTTTTTACAGAAATGTAAAAGCCTAAAGAACACAGATTAATTTTTCAGTCTTATTTTATGGCCTGGGCTGTGGTGCGTGTGGCAAAATGAGTTGTCAAAAGTGCTATCCCATTATGCACATAATCTGTTGCCTTTAGAGGTATAGGTGATTATGAAAGCAAAGATTAAGGTTTAACACAAACTATTGAAAGGGCGAGTATAAAAATGTTTTAATTGTGATAAACTGTGATGGTGAGATTAATAATTAAATTTCTTTTTAGAAATACAAAGGCCAGACAGAAGACAGTAATATATCTGTACCATCTGAACCAAGCAGTCCTCAAAGTAGCACGCGTAGTCGCTCAAATTCACCAGACGACATCCTAGAAAGAGTAGCTGCTGATGTTAAGGAGTACGAACGGGAAAATGTGGACACGTTTGAGGCGTCAGTGAAAGCCAAGCACAACCTCATGACAGTTGAACAGAACAATGGTAAGAATCTGAAATCTCACTTTATAATGCAATTTATGAAAGCTCAGACATTTTGCTTAGTTGCCTTATATACTTCCAGCCTTGGAAGTAAATTGACTTTTCAGACAGAATTTGAGAGTGTTTCCATGATTATTATGGTACTTATAACATTAAAGTAAAGCTCGCTCGTTAAGGAGGATGATATGAATCGAACATGTTCTCTATATTTCTGTTCAGTCTTAACACAATCTGTGCTATATATTCGTAAGAGGAAATTATGATGTCTGTCTTTATAGCTAAGAATCACCCTTTTTAACTTCCAGATTTTTCTTTTCACTTATGCATGTTGTTTTCTTAGAAGCTTAATATAGTCCTAGTCTTTATTTCGGAGTGGGTTAGGAACCATGCCCCTTTTATCGCTTTTTTTTTTAGTCAAAGCCACTGTGCCAGAAGAATATAGGTGGGTCTAGTCATTTAGAATGATTAAGGCTTTTGAAAGTCATTGCTAGTGAATCCATTTTGGTGGCATAACTTCTTGAAGAAATGGCTATTTCCTCCTCTTCCTCTCTGCACATAATGTATTGTACAGCAATACTGAAATCAGATACAACTTGATATAAAACCTGCCTGCTGTGGCAAAAAGAACATAGAGCATCTCCCAGTGCACCCTGTAATAATGACAATCTGCTTTGTTTTGTTTTGTTTGTCATTTGGAAGTGGATTCCTGTACATCTTCCAAGTAGGCAAAGGTGTGTCTATTTGCTGTGTGGTCATATTTGAGCTAGTTTTAACTACTTCAATTTCTCTTTACAGTTTAATTGCAACAGCACACTGTTTAACAAGGGCTGTGAAACCTGCCCAACCCCTCAGGATATATTGGACAGTTAGCTTGTATTTCACGTCATGTGCTAGTTGTATCCTTGAGGGCTAAATATGCTATCTTCTAGTGGTTGCTTCTCTTTGAAGTAATAAAGCTGCATCTCTTTGGGACTGGTGTACTGCTCTGTACTTTGTCCTGGGGTTCCCTTGAGCAGTATGTTTTCAGACCATTCCCCTGCAATGTAGGTGGAAAGAACTGTCTTAGGCACTTTTTCCTTATTTGCATACCTCAAATTTAGACTTGGTCTTCATATGTGTAACAGACAATACCCTTTTCCATTTTCGTTGAGGTATGTACTGCTTTCTAATTTTGTCCACTAAAGTACATGAAAATATAACTGTTCAGTACATAGACATTTCTAAGATATGAAAAAGATTTGTTTTTAAAAATAGTTCAGTTATGCTCAAATCTGGGAATTTTCATAGATTGGTAGGATTCTGGTTTGAAGGTGGCTATAACAACAGATGGAAGCAGTGGATCATCTTTCTTTCTAAGAGCCATTTTTTTATTCATATCCTGACCTTGTACAGGTCCAGGATAGTAAGTTGCTAAGAAACTAGTTAATAACTCATTGTAACCCAGTGCAAGTGTAAGTATCTGGAACTAAAAAGAAAATTTGCTAGAAGGGTCTACATCGTGAAACAGAGGTGTAACTTGTCTCCCCATAGTGTCAGGTGACGGGTCTGTATGTCGAAACAACGGTGTCAGCATGATGGATGAGAGTTTTTGATGCTGTCAGACAATTTCAGTTCTAGTTTTGTATGAAAGTGCTTGGCTATATGCATCACGAGACCTGGAGCATCTGAGGTTCACTGCTTATTTTAATCCATTGCTTATTACCCTAAAGGGAGTGTCTGTGATTTACTGTGTCATGCAGGGATGCTACCATAATGTGTGTTATGAAATAGTTTGAAGTTTACTTGCTTTCACTAACGTGTACTTAATTTATATTTCTTTGCTTTTATCTTATCAACCAAGTAAAATGTCTTTGGGACTTTAAAGATGATTAAAAGGTGAGAAAGGGATAATCTTGCCCATATTAAAAATGTTTCTCTTAAACATAATCGTTAACATTGCCTTTGACTAAAAGCTACACATGAGCTGCTTTTCAACAGGGTTGAAGAAAACATTTTCCAAAGAAACAACTTCTCAGCTTCACAACTTTGCTTTTCAGTAAAATACCTTGTGATTAGCAGAAAACCCTGAACTTGTATATTGAAAACTTGTCTGTATTTTTAAATCTATATATATACACACACACACAGTCATTTTGTATTTCTTTTTATACATATATATAGTTATTATCTGTAGGGATCATGTAAGTATGTACTTTTTTCTTTCTGCTGTGTGAATTATTTGAAAGCTATTATACTTAATTTTTCAAGGAGATACACATTTTTGAGTGCTTTGAAGAACTTAACCAATCTGAGTTTTGTATTTCTAGAATGTAAAATGGTATTTGCTAGAAACGTTAGTAGAGCTACCTGTTTGCCAACATACTGATCTTAGGTTGTGTTGTAAAGATACAAAGTCATGAATTATACTGGTAACAAAGTTATTAGTTTGTCATCTTTTTCATGTTGAGTAATCTAAATTTCATTTTAAGGTTCAGCTCAGAAGAAACTGCTAGCTCCTGATATGTTCACAGAATCAGATGATATGTTCGCTGCTTACTTTGATGTAGGTAATTCTTGGAGATGAAACGTATGAATTTTTTTTTGCTTGATTTTTGTTAGAGAGCTTCTGTCACTTGAGGTTTGTGGGAACTTTGATTTGTAAAAGCATGTGTAACTGAGTGGATAGTATGTTCTGAATCTTTTGATCAGCCAAGGCAAAGTAGTTCTTAATTAGTCTTTCAGTCAAAGAAAACCTGCTGAAATTAGTGAGACTTTCACCAGAGTAAGCAACTGGGAATTCACCTCCTGTTTGAATAGGGCCTGTAATGGCACATGGTGACAAGCCTCTTTATAAGTTAAACTTTACATTAATGTTACCATACTGAGCTGTTCTAAGTATGTGCTTTTTTCAGAGGCTCATGTATGGTTAATTACAAAGTGTCTGTGTAAGATATTTTAATTTGCTAATGATGCTGTGTTGGAGTAATCTGGTGGTTGGTTTGGTGGGGTGGGTTTTTTTTTTTTGATGAAGAGATATATTTCTTGGTTTTCTTTTGCTCTATTCCAGCAGCTTTTCTCTAAATGTGCTGAAGTGGCCTGTAAGGATTGGCAGTCCAGTGACTAGTTTTGAGACCTTCCTTGCCATTTTCTGTAAATTTACCTTGTTGTTGCTCATGCAGATCACTGAGAAATGAGTCAATGCAACAATTTTCTTAAAAATTCTCCAGTTAATTTTGGTTTATGGCATTTATAATGTATTAGTTACGACAGAAGTATTGGTGAAAAAAGGCTCCCGTGGTGTCACACCAGTAACACTGGTGGTAATAAAATTTTTAAAAATCAAAATCCCCTTGACCTGGAAAAATATAAATACTTGAAAGATAGTGTGAGGGAGGTGTGTTTTTAAAAATTTTGAAGTTACTAGTAGGGATTTATATGTCTTGTAAGTGAGCAATTCCCCCTTCCAGAAACTGTTGTTCATTTGAAGATATTCTTTACTACTCATAGATTTAATTTTGTGATAATATATTGCCAAATCTGTTAAGAGATGTCAACAGCAGTTGTAGTAATTTTATGATCGTAAGTCTAATAGTATGAAATCTGTGAAGCGGCACTGAATGAACAGAAATTCAAGGCTTAAACAGTTATATTTTCTTCATAAATTACGAAGCTTTTTTACTCCAAACCTATTGTAAGTAAACAGTTGTATTCAGATGGTCCAAAATGTGCATTCTAACATGACTTGTATAAGTTCTTTGTGGGTAATAAGTGAAACTTTGCCCGTTTATGTTTTAATAATACTTTTGGTTGTTCTCATCCTCTTTCCTTGCATCAGTCCTTACATACTGGTACGTAGATAGCATTTTGTGTTCAGTAGTTTCTCTCTCCTGCAAGATAAGTGTGTGTGTACTGTGGAGAGGAACAGTGTTTCAGTAGGAAAAAAGGGCTTTTTGGTTAGTAAACGTCAAGGTAAAACAGATCACACAAGCAAAGCTGTTACTTATCTTTTTATTTCAGAGTGCTCGTCTAAGGGCTGCTGGGTTTGGAAAAGACTTCAAAGAAAACCCCAATCTCAGGGATAACTGGACTGATGCAGAAGGCTATTACCGTAAGTTGTGTTTGTTGCTTTGCAAGGAGAGCTAGCATGAGGGTGCTGAATGGAAAAGATTCTCATGTAGAAGTACTGAAACGTTATTGTAATGTAAACGTACCACCGTGCCCTCACTGAGTGTGCAATGTCATGGATGAAATGGGCAGGCAGGTTTTAACCTCCCTTATGAAGAGACTCCAGACTTACAGAATCAGTTTGTTCCCCGTAAGTTCCACAAAGCTAGGGGATATAAAACATTGTACAGTGAAATGAAGTGATTATCCTGTTTTTCTGAATTACACAGAATGGTTTATTTTTCATAAAAAGTTCAATTGTTTACATCCCTCATAACTTGAAATTGCTTGATTTTATCCTTCAGGTGTTAATATAGGTGAAGTTCTAGATAAACGTTACAATGTCTATGGTTACACTGGTCAGGGAGTCTTCAGTAACGTAGTGCGAGCCAGGGACATGGCAAGAGCAAACCAAGAAGTAGCGGTTAAAATCATCAGGAACAATGAACTTATGTAAGTAATGTTTTTGTTTAATAATAATAAAGCATATGTAACGGTTGGAAGTTTTCATGATGTGATTTGAATCTCCCTTTGTTTCAAGTGAAGTAACAGATTACAGCTGTGATTCCTGCCTTTTCTGCTAATATGAGCCAGATAATGGGAAGCGCTTGAGGACTATGTATCCACACTTCTTTACAGCTATCGCAGGAGAAGGGTACTTGCATTTTCATCAGGCACTTTCTCATTTGCAAAACTGCAGGGAACAGTGGTAGCAAGAAGCAAGGTTGCAGTTAATTAGGAGGCCTGCCCAGCCCTAGCATTTCTGAAACAGGAGTCGTGAACTGTAAAGATTTTCTTTTGTTGGACCAAATCGGTTTGGCAGGCTATGGGTTGGATCCTAATAGATCATCTGCAACTCACAAAAAGACCTCTGTACACTAATTGGTTTTGTATATACAATGTCTCGGCATGTATATAGGATATATAGAAAGGGATGGGACTCTCCCTGTTGAAATAAAAGGAAAAAAATAGGTCTGTCAGAATGAGTGCAGGTTAACAAGTATGATCTATTAAACTACATTATGTGAGGACTTGTCTATGACATTAATTTTCAATATCTGTTGCAGTATTTCTACAGTCATATATTATGTCCTCTTCCACTAAAGACAACTTAAATGCAAATCTTTTCCATGTTTTTTACCTTGGAAGTTTTAAATATTGATTTCTGTGTGTATAACTGGATTATTTTGAGTTATATAAATAGGTATCTAGAAAAGTTTTTAAGAAAAAGAGAGGGGAGGGGGTGACAAGCCATTTCATTTTGGAATGTTGTGTAGATAATCAGATTGGGTGTGTACTTGACTCTACAGTCCATTTAGCTTAAGGCTTTTTTTATTAATGTATGTGGTTAAGTACTTTTTTTTAAAAAACAGTAAACTTCTCAAGTGTTGTTTGAAACTAAAGTGTAGTGTTACAGGAGGAGATTAATTTTAGCTTTACATGCAACTGGGAGGGAGGAGGAAAGGATGAGTAGGTTACAAAGGCACAGTGAAGATCAGAGAGTTAAATAAACTTAACCAATGTGTAGACACTGACTGCAAACCACTGTTGGTTTTTCTGAAGCCGTGGTACATTAAGTAATGACAAGACACTTCTCATTTCTGGATAATTAAAACTGTGCAAGTGAACGTCTAGATTTAAAAAAAGTATTAGAATTTCACTGATTTTGTTTTATAATCACATTTCTTTGTTTTCAGGCAAAAAACTGGCTTAAAAGAACTGGAATTTTTGAAGAAGCTCAATGATGCAGATCCTGATGACAAGTTTCATTGTCTACGGTTGTTCAGGCATTTCTACCATAAACAACATCTCTGTCTGGTATTTGAGCCACTCAGGTAAGATGACAAATGTATGGGGTTCTCTGTAAAAAGTAAAATACTGTTGAGTGATCTTTACCTTTCTGGTTTTGGCTACTGATTCGATACCTTGTCTATTGCCGAGATTTAAGAATACAAGAAAATTAAAAAAAAAAAAAAATTACCTGGAAGCACAAATCCACACACTACTGTACTATTTCTGATTTACTTAAAGCCACATTGTGAACCTTCTGCCTGGACGATATTTGAAACAAAATAATATATTATTAGAGATGGACATCTCACCAGATCTTAATTTTGCGGGGGGTGGGGGGTGGGGTGTGGGGTGTGTGACAATATTTTTAGTAGTTTTTGTAATTCTTTATTTTAAGGGTTTGGATTAAGAATGCATTCCCAGAGAGGTTCAGAAAATGCTGTATATTCTATGAAGAAAACATTCACAACAGTCTAGGGAATAAAATTGTTCTAGGGTTTTCTTTGTATGCTCACTTTTTCTTTAAATAATTAAGCTCTATTGACAGGCTAATTGTAGACACTGTTTTATGGTAGATCTGGATATATTAACTGCATTAGTTCCCATTCCTGCTGAGAAGCTCCAGTTGTTCATAGCCTAAATTTTCTGTCTATGTCATGTTTTAATTGTCGCTGTATTTGAGGTGAAGATAAGTAATATGCTGAAGCAATGCAAATTTTATGAAATTACTATTATGCTTTCCTTAGAACGGCATACAACGAATTATTTTCTTGTGCTGAACTGTCTCTTTATAACACACTTGCACATTATTTATATCCAGTGATTTTTTTTTTTGTCCTGGAATTGTGGTCTTTTTATCTGCTGCTTTCAGTCACAAAAAAATCTGTTCCTCAACTTGTATCTTTTGCATACTTACATATTTATTTATTTCTGAAGAAAATGATTACAAAGGCTTTGCAGTTGTTGAGAAAATGCTGTTCATGTGCAAATAAATCCTCTCAAACTGATCTTGATTAAAAATGCGTTCTGGACTAAGTAAGTCCAGTCTAGTTATTATACAGTATAGGACAGATCTGATTGACCAGCATTTTTCTTTCCTTGCTGGAGCTAACAGAGCGTTACTTATGTTAAGCTGAATGCCGATTTTCTCCAAAAATGTCTAAAGCCAAGCAGCTTGCTCAAGTTTGTCTTACAGTTTAGGAGGCCACAATGTTTTTAAGTTCTTTTTTTTTTTTTTTATTTCTCCTTTCTCTTAACAGTATGAATTTACGAGAGGTGTTGAAGAAGTATGGGAAAGATGTTGGACTCCATATTAAAGCTGTGCGTTCCTACAGCCAGCAGTTGTTCCTGGCTTTAAAACTTCTTAAAAGATGCAATATCTTACATGCAGATATTAAACCAGATAATATTTTGGTAAGTAATAAATAATTGAAACTTACTTTGCACAGTCTATAGTGTAAAACTAAATTTTTGAAATTAATATTCTGTTAGTTTAGGTCAAGTCAAAATTAACTGAAAATGTTGAGGGTTCACATTTTGATATAGAATGCTATCATGGTACAAATAGGAAGTAAGAAATATAATATGGCATCTAAATAAAAACTTTTATTTAGTACAGTCTTTCTCAAACCAACATGCATCCACTTGTATCTTTATAGAAAGCAGATCTTCCAAAGACAGACAGTATCCTTTCTTAGGAGAAATCTCAGGAGTTTTTCCATCAGTAGCTGAAAAATGTTCTCGCTTTCTGCAAAATGGAAGTAGGTTATCTGAGTCTGGATGGAGATTTTGTTTATTGAATCAGATAATGGGGAAAAGTCCTTAATGCCTTTTTTCTCTTTTGTTTCCATTAAACATTCTGGTTAGCAGGGCGCGAGAGCGACATCAGAGGAATCAAACACGTTTCCTTTGGTTTTCTTGGTGGTCATCCCTGTAACAAACTCAGATTTGTATTTTATTTAAAATGTTCTTGCCATCACAGCAGTAAAATTTATTATGTGAGTGTGAGATAAGTGAATAATAATGCTGTTTTATGAGTGGTACTCTGGATACTAGAGTTGGAAGACTAAAGCAATACAGTTTCAGTATCTGGAATGAAATCCAGGTCCACCAAGGATAGTTTGGTAAGGGAAGAGTATGTGAAACTGACCTTTTGTGTATTTTGTAGGATCTGAAGACACGAACTGTCACTTTCAATTTAATAAAATTTTACAGTTTCTTTAGAATACAGAGAGGAAAGATTGAAATATGGGAAGAACTTCCAATTTAAAGGCTGAATGTTTTTCTTAATCTCTGACTTAAACGTATTGTCACTTCCACCGTGCTACTGGCGAGTCTGTCTACAAATAGTGCTAATGGACATTTATGTTTAACTTTCAGGTGAATGAGTCTAAAACGATATTAAAGCTTTGCGATTTCGGATCAGCTTCGCATGTTGCAGATAATGACATCACACCATATCTAGTTAGTAGATTTTATCGAGCTCCAGAAATCAGTAAGTACATTTGGGTTGGCTACACGTACCATGAGCAGTAGCAGGATACACCAGTACTAGCAAATGAGAATTTGACTTGAATTTACTCTCTGTTTGGTCTTAGCAAAACATCACTCTGGAAATATGATGACAGTCAAAAATTCAGACTTTGAAAGCATGCTTGTGTGACTCCTCATGTATGTTGGTGGTCAGCTCAGTGAGGACAGGGAGCAGTCATTCTGCTTGGTTATAGTTATGTTTTAATTTGGAGGTATTGTTCTGACTTCTTGTTTTTTACTAACTTAATTTGTGCTAATTGGTTTGGGCATTAGGTAAAAACCTCCCTTTCTAAAGTAGGGATACTGTAAAAGTTGAAAGGTTTGCATCCTTCTTTTATGGTGACTTCATATTCCTAAGAGAAGGAGCACCAATACAGTTTACATATCAGAATTTTTTCATCTGTCTGTTTTTTGTGATATTACATCGTTTAAGACTGCCTTTATGGAATTAACTGAAATTGCTCTGTTTCAGTTATAGGAAAAATCTATGACTATGGTATAGATATGTGGTCTGTAGGCTGCACATTATATGAACTTTATACAGGAAAAATACTCTTTCCTGGCAAAACCAATAACCATATGTTGAAACTAGCCATGGATCTCAAAGGAAAGATGCCAAACAAGGTAAGAAAAATAAGTGTATGATTTCTAATTAATTTCTGAAACTGCTGTAATGAACGTTAGAACACACTTTCTTTTTTCTCCCTGAATTCTGTTTCTTATCATATACATCTTCTCTTAACAGCAAGTAAATATCAGGCATCGCTCTGACTGTATAATTTATATTGATTTAAAATCTTATGAAGTGAAAGTATACAGCTTCTTTTTCATAGACTAAGTATAAAGTGAAAGCAGAAACCTTCTAAGCACTGACCTGAAAAAAATACGTAAGTCAATGGAAGATCCTGTGTTCTTTTTCAACTGGTTTGAACTGTTATTTTTCTTGTATTCAATCTAGACATTTCTTACTGTTCTTTTGATATATTTTTCATTAGTATTAAATTATTCATGTTCCAATAAGTTAGTAGACATTGATGCTAATTGTGGAAGCTGTAAGAGACTGAGAACTTGCCTGAAACATTTGCCTCTCCCTCGTTTTCCAGATGATTCGAAAAGGTGTGTTCAAAGATCAGCACTTTGATCAAAATCTCAACTTTATGTATATAGAAGTAGATAAAGTGACAGAAAGGGTAAGTCCTTTATGTGTCAACTAACCTATTGGTTTTTTCCCAAGCTTTCCTACTATTACGGTCTTTCAAACGTATCTTGACATCTTAATCAAAAATTGCATTTTTATAAACTATTAGAATGTCCTTTTGCAGCACAATGGACAGCTTACATAGTTACAAACGGCCAACAGATTTTTTTCCTGTGGTTTAGGAACGCGTTTAAGAGAACTCTTAAGTTTAATCTTGGTAGGTGTACAGAGTATCTCCACATAATTATCCTTAAATCACTAATAAAAGAAATTCTGCCTCTACTTTAGAGAAGGGTGTCCGACTTCAGTACGATGTGCTTGTGCTGTAGAAGGTCACTGTGACTTTCTGTATCATTTTAGCATAGCGTATTTATCAAGCAACACAGAATTCGGGGGCGGACATGGGAACTTTCCACGTGGGATTTTGATGGTCTCGGTGCGCTGGGATGTTAGGTTCAGGTACGCACCTGCTGTTGGCGCAAGATGCAGCCTGGCCTACCCCTGGCCACGTTACTTCCACTCTTCCCCCGTGCCTGCGTGAGGAGTTCGGAGGCCGGATGATGCGGAGGGGCGTTGCTGGTCAGGTGTGAGAGAACCCTGCGGAAAAGTTGCTGCTGAAGTTTCTGTGAGAGGGATAGGGCTTTTGTGCGTTACTTCCGCTCTACAAGGTTGCCGTTTTTTGTATTTGTAGGAGAAAGTTACTGTTATGAGCACCATTAATCCAACCAAGGACCTGTTAGCAGACTTGATTGGGTGCCAACGACTCCCGGAAGACCAGCGTAAAAAAGTACACCAGCTAAAGGACTTGTTGGACCAGATTCTAATGTTAGACCCAGCTAAACGGATTAGCATCAACCAGGCTCTGCAGCACGCCTTCATCCAGGAAAAAATTTAAACCAGATGAAGAAGTTCAAAGGGTTTGAGTAATTAAGATACAAAGACTGAAGAAATTTCACAGCAGTTATTAATGTATATAAACATAAATATTTCCCCTGCAAAGTTGAGGAAGAAATGATACATTTGAATTAACATCAAGGCTGATATTTCTTTTAGAAATGTTAGAGTAATTCTGTTTTGTGTCTTATGTGAAAATTTTCACTGTAGAACTGTTTTAATTGCCAAGACTGCACAGAAGTACAATGCTAATGTATATGGTTGCAGTTCGTATATATTATAAAAAGAAAAAAAGCATCTGTTATAAAAAAGAAAAAAAAAAAAAGAAAAAAAAAAAAAAGAGCAGTAATACTGGGTGGTTGATTTGTTTTTAGCAGACTTGGCTTCATTTTTGTCTTTAAAAAATGGCCAGCATAAATGCTGTTTATATTCACATTTTCCTAGGTGTGTGTGTGCAGGCCACAGCAGCATGCCCTTGGTGTAGTCAGTGCCGAAGGGGGTCTGTTCCTTCTTGAGCCTGCCCGCAGGGATGGTCTCCTCTTTTAAAGCAGGTTGTGTACAACTTTCAGTACACTGAAGGTAAGCTAACCCATCAACATCACCGGTGTTTAAGCTGTTATTTTACTGGAACAACTGACAAATGAGAGACAATAGCGTTGTGGCAGAATTCCCTGCATGTTTGATAAATGATCCTGTTTTATTTTCTGGCATTGCAACCGTGGCATAGTTACAACTTCTGTTCTGTTCATCACATTTAAAACCTTGAGAGTGCGCACTTGATGGATAGAGCGCCTTCAGTGTACTGTTTCTTATTACTTTAATTTTTTTAATCAACTTGCTATAGACTTTGTATACATTTTGTTAAATACAGTTCACTATGACATAGAACCAATACTTACAGAAGAGTTTTCATTTAGTAATTACATATGTTGGGATCTCATTCGAAAGACCTTATATCTAAAGGATAGATAGACAACATAAGGAAATTTTTAACTATTTGTATGTCATTTTGAAAGTGTACTGCTTTATGCTAAAAGTGTTTCATTTGTTCATTGTTTTCATTATTTGTGATCATGTTGTCTTTCAATACAGGCATAAACCTTCCACTCTTGAACAAAGCAGCTGCTTTTTAAAAGCGGTAATTGCTTCTTTACCTTTTATTTCTTTTGTAAATGAAGCTTTTCTTTAAGAAATGTGACTTTAAAGTGTTGTCTCTTGCATAAAACAGTTGACACTTACTTATTGTAAAGTGAAGATTGTTCTGCTGCATGTAAAGTGGACCATGCAGATTTCTGTATGTTTTCAGTATGCATCATTAGATAATAAAGTCTTTTGTGAACAAGGCATTTGTAGCCATTTTTAAAAGAATCTGTCTTCAGTGATGGTAAATCAGGTAATTCATAAGAACCACCCCTGCATTTCCTATTAATCATTTAATTAAAGGGATTATTAAACATTATGATCTTTGGGAGAGCTGTAGGCTATGTTAATTAGATATATAATTATCACTGCTTAAACAAAAGCAAAGCAAAAAACCCTACAGATACTGTCTGTCTGCTTTCATTGTAATGAAATTATTCCTATAGGACATGGGATTAAATTCAGGCTTTAACTAATGTTTGTGCTGTTTTTCTCACTTTTCCTTTTGATGGTGCTGAAAGAGAAAAAGGAAAGCGAGTCACAGGCCACTCAACGCCTACTCCATGGGTCTGATTTGCTGAGACACCAACTTCACCTTCCTAACAAGGTTATTTCTGACAGCATGTGTAGATAAACATTTAGCAACAAGTTAAAAGAGCTTGAAACATTTGAGTTGGTTATACAGGGTGAGGAAAACAGAATCAAACTTTTCAGGTCCATACTGCTGCTTTAGTGTTCTCTTTGACAATGTTAAGAGGTTCAGCTCTTCATTTTTATTAATATATTCTGACAAGCTGTGAAAACCCCACTGGTTTCACATACTTTATAATACTTCTTTGAACTAAGAAGGGTTTTTGTATCCATCTAGGTACATAATGGCAACAGTCATGCACTCTTAGTGCACTCAAGAATGGAAAAATGACACAAAGCAGTCATTCTGCTGGTGGGGAATACCCCACCGAGGAGATGTAATGAACTAACTACGAAAACAAGCAGGAGATGGGTGGTTTTGTATGCCTATTTGGAACCTTCAACCTGTCTCTTCGCAATTTATATTGTAAAAAATCTTAATAAAAAAATAATCTCTCCTTATTTCCACATATTAAGGTATCTTGTTCATACAGGAGATAATAAAAAAAAAAAGCTTTAATGAAATCCTAGTTACTTGATAGTTAAATACAGAAAGTAACTTGCACTTTTACAACCTAGGCAGCACTTCTGAGGGCAATTTTACACAGATGTAGTAATAGCCTATTCTTTCTGTTGCTTTGTACTTTATCCTTAAAGTAGGAATATAGAACAATGAAATGAGTTGGTGATACAGAAACAAAGCAGTAGAAAAGATGCCCCTTAATGCCTACAGAACTGTTTTAAGCTATTCTGGAGAAGCATAAAGTTGCTCGTTTACTTGTTCTTTGTGTTGTAGGTGCAGCTCAAAAGAAGATGATGGCTACCAGAAGACATGAACAAAGGTTTCTGTCCTATAAAAGATATGAAAAATACTCTTCGTGTAGTTCTGTCTTAATCTTTTGGTTTCCAGCATTCCAATTTAGAATTGATTATCACTGCTGCAGTACTGATTAATTCCTGAAACATACTTACTGTATTAGAATTTGTTACATAGACGTGTCTCTTTCATTTCTGGTTGAAGAGATATTTTTTTTTTTTTTTTTACTGTGATTAAATGTAGGTAAATAAGCATTACTGTTCAGATGCAGTTTTCTTAAAATGATAGAAAGATCAGTACAAAACCTATGAAATTTAGGAAAAAATCTGCCGTTGTATTTGGTTAAAATACGTGTGTGTTAACCAGTAAATACTTAAGCAGATGTAACTTCAGCAGGTTCGTTGTTTATTTTGATTCTGTCAGATCTGATTGTTGATGCAGAGACCAGCTGACAGGGGCCCCTCGGGACAGGTGGATTTCAGTCCGCCGTCCAGTGCTTCTTGTTGGCAACAACAGGACACCTCTAGCTCTGGCTTCAGCAGCCTCTGGAGTTGAGGACTTTTTGACAGGGTTACGGAACCTCTCCAGTGGGAGGCAGTACCTGTCCCAGTAGCTCTGAGGAGAGGTAGCACCCCTGCAGTGAGCTGCATTCCAGCAGCCGCAGCTCAGTGCAAACGGAGCAGCTGTGCGAGGGAGTGTTGGTGTAGAACCGTTTCTGAGCTGATCTAAGAGGGAGGATAATTTATCTTGTCCTCCTCTTTGCGAAGGTGTAATTTGTATCTTCACCTGAGGGGCTACACGCAGAAAGTTTGGCTCAATCTGCTGTGCTAATTTCTGTTTCCTCCTCCTTCATGGTGACAAGGAGCTTCACATTTAACGTGCTTAGATTGCCAAGCGTTCAGAAAAAATCAAGATGCCAGCCCTATGCAGTTAGAATGTGTTTTTATTACCTTGGTGCATACTACTATAATTTAAAAATTAAAAACTGCTTAAGACCTTTTGATAGAATATAATGATTCCTTTAAAAAACCTTTTTAATAATACTTTATCTCCATACATAGGGTAAGTGGCATTAAACCTCTGAAGAAGCTTTATGTGTATATTGACCCGTAAACAGAAGGCAGACCAGTCTGTGATACTGCTGGAGATAGAACCATCTGCTACAGTGTGTGTAAAATTGTAACTCGGGTGGAAGATGTTGGGAAGTGGCAGTTGCTTGAAATTAATAAAGTACGCTTAAAACTTACTTGCATCCTGTCTTCTGTCATGTTTAGAAACGTCATAGTGCAAAGCTGCTAGGGGAACAACTTTTAAATACACTAAATCCAAACTGTAGCTCTTTGAATGGGGTTGTCTGCTGAGGTATCAGAGGTGTTAAAGAATCTGTGAAAAAGTATTTCCGAATATGTGTAAAATGGAGCTGCTGCTGTCTTTTAAGTTGCCTCTCTCCCGGTTCCAGAAGCCCTGTCAGCGCCAAAGAATTCATCTGGATTTCACTTTGATTTTCCCCACGGCTTTTTAAATCTTTTGTAGGGAGGTGCGAGCCCGTGTGAGTCAGGGGATGAAAGAATTACATTGTATTACAGTGAAGGGAAGCCAGATATTTCTATAGATCATAATAGAAAGCCCAAGGCTAGTCAAATGGGAGAAGCATCACAGTGAAGTGGGATGGAGTGTGTATATTCACTTCTTAACTTGTAAATTATGTATTGAATTATTAATGTAAGTGTATTCGTTACACTCACCCTGTGCACACAGAAGTGCGACTACCAAACATGTCTCCTAGACTTTTACGTCTCAGTTTTGTTCATCTCCATACTTTAAAACTTCATTTAAACTTAGGACAAATAATTACTTTCTCTAAATAAAAAACTTGGCCCTTCTGTCCATGATACACCTTGTAAGTTCTTCATTGTCTCAGTTATTTCCTCATAAACACTGATTTTGATGATTGTGGCCCAGATCTTCCTATAAAGTAGGTACGAGGTAATTATTCATAAGATAGTGAAAATAGAAGAATATTTACAAAGATTCAGTGTTCAGTTTAAGTTAATGAGAAATAATGTAAAGCTACTTAGGAGTGGGTAGAACTACACAGGGCATAACCCAGGGGGTAGCTGCTGCTACAGCCAGCGTCTCCTCTGTAGCTGGTCGGGGTTCAGTCTCCAACGTGTTACTTTTCAAGTGAGAGCGCAACAGCTGTGGCTTTGTGCTCTTGGAGGAAGGAGCCAGGCGGGGGTAAGGGAGGGCACCCGCAGTGCACCCTCCGGAAAGAATGGGCCGGGTAGCTGCTACCCAGACTACCAAGCAGGGAAGGTCCTCGGGGCTGTAAGAGGAGCCCGGCGTTGGCAGGGGAGGCTGCGGGGCGGGAGGCGGTGTCTGCAGGCGCGGCCCGGTGAAGAAAGCTCGGCAGTGCTGCCCGGGGGGGGGGGGGGGGGGGCGCCTTCCCTGCCAGCGCTCCCCTCGGCAGCACGTGGAGCCGGGGGTGCCCCCGCCCCAAGCTGCCTCGGCGGTCGCAAGGGGCAAAGCAGTCCTCTTCCGAAAAGCAAGCACTCTGCTTGCCGGTAACGTGCCAAAGCCCAAACCCCGCGTGGTGACAGGAGCGGGATCTTTTTCACTGACGGTTAAACTGGCTCTTTGGCATGCTCTGCAAGTCTTTGCAAGCCTGCTCAGACCTGCAGCTACAACAGACCTGTCCCTTTGAGTAGGTAGATTTATCATAGAATCTGATACCTTCCCGGCCAGAAGTACGATTTCTTAGAGGATGTGGGTGAATTTCTGCGTTGATGGGAAGACTGGTAACCACCTTAGAACAGCTGCTGCCTAAGCAGAACAAACGGTAATCCTCTGATCTTGACATTCTGCACATCCACTTGTCTAACAGTTCCACAGCTGCTCTTAACTCTGCCCCTTGCAAAACTCCCCAGCTAATGTGGGGTTTTTTAGTTAGCACAAGCTGGAAATACAGCCGCTTCCTTCCTTGCATCCTGACTGTGGGATAAGGGTCTAAAGACGGATTGGCACAGCTTCTTCTGCAAATAACAACAGAAGAAAAACACTGTGAGGAGACAGCCTGCCTTGTAGGCTGCTGGAAATTATGGTGCTGTACTGGGAGGCCAGCAGCTTGGACTGACCAGGTTACTCGGGCTGTGAAATTTCCATCCTTGGAGGCAGTCAGCAGTGAACAAGATGCGATGCCAAGCAACCTAATTTACCTCTGCAGCCGGTCCCGCTTCGAGCGTGGGGCAACAAGATCAGATGACCTATAGCTTGGAGAGGACTGCTATGATTTTTTTAGGTTGTTTTGGTTTTTTTGGTTTTTTTTTTTTTTTTTTGTCATTTGTAAAGGCTCGTTTACTAGCAGCATTGATTTTTATGCTAAGTTCCTTGCAATGAATGAGGTTTTGGTTCTAAAGTAATACAAATGTTTAAGTCTTACCCCTTCATAAGTCCCATACCTCACTGTCCTCACAATTCTCACCCAAAGTGTAAAAACCTCAATTAGCATAAATGGGAGAATATTCTTCCTGCGTTTCACTGAATTCGAGCTGAACTCCAGCAAAGAGTAAGAATGGTGCTGAACACATTACAAGTAGGAGCAGCAGAACGAATATTGATGTTTTGTATTGAAAACAAGTTTCTTCTGCAAATACTCTTGGTGACTTCGAGCTGTCGCACTCGCCAAGCTGTGCATGTGTCTGTATTCTTTCTGCTCCTTATTCTCAAATGAGGAAGCTGAACTTCACATGCTACATATAAAGGAGCTTTACCTTATCTAAATAAACCTAAAGCTCAGACATTCTACAAATCTACCTCCTATGTTAAAATAAAGCTCATCCTAAAAACAGCCGGATGAGATACTCTGTATAGACGAGCCCTACGTTTGGGCTGCAGACTTTCCATAGGGAAGAACAAAGTTTTGCTCAACTAAAGCCCAGCTCCCATTCATTCCATGCTTACTCATGTATCTGTGAGGCATCTGGAAAGGTAACACACATTGCTCCATACACAGTTTTACAAAATTTAGTCTGGATTTAATATCCAGACAGGTTAAGCCAGCTGGCTGAATCCAGTAAAGGCACCAGCTCCTTCAGCCTCTTGAATGAAGATTTCTCATCGCGGCTGAGCAAGAGGGCTGCCTGCAATCGCTCTTCCTTTGAGAGGTCTCCCACCTGCAGGGAAATGGCGGTTGAGTTGCTCTTTCTGGGAGTTAAGTGAAATCTGAAACACCCGCAATGCCTATCCATTTTCTTCCCCTAAGAGGCCTAAATTAAATAAATCTGGCAGACCAAATTTAGGCTTGGAATTCCCTGCCCCTTTACAGAACATCCCGGCATTCTGACAGGATAGGAAACAGGTGATTTCATAGCCTGGCCCAAATTGCTCTTCTAGCTCATTAAAGCTAACATACCAAGTCTGTTCCTATTTGCAAGTAATTAAACTATTTTTGTTCAGAAAGGCTTAGCAAAAAATTCAGCTATGTTTACAGGAGGATCCCAAATAACGCCTAGCTCAACATGCTTTTTTCTTAATGTTCTTCTTCTTTAAAACTAATCCAGAAATTCTCTTACCATGTGGTAAATTACACAGTAATGCTTATATTCAATTAAGAGCGATTTACGACATCTCACAGAAGACCCGTGTGCCTGAAGCAACAGATGAGTTTTAAAGTGACCAAAACTAGCAAAATTCATGTGTGGGAAGCTCCTGTACACAGACCAAGAAATAAATGCAGTCTAAACACATACTTAATGGAAACAACCCTCTTACAGACAAAAAGATGAATCCAAGTATGTAATTTAGTCTTAAAAGTTTAAGGAGGTTTTCCTGGAATAGTCATCATCCTCCAAAATCTGAGAGTCCACGGGAAGATGCTGTAGTGCTCCATTCTGAGAGAAGGATAAATGCACCTACTTAAATCACACACATATTTGATTCACAAGGCCACCCACCATTCTGTCTTGGGCAACAGTCAAGCTACCAGTAAGCTATTTCACAGATTATTCTATTTATACCAAGGTAAAAGATGAGTAATTCTGCTGGAGTCTGAAAGGCTTTCAGCCCACACCAGTTTTGTGCAGTTGGAGCGTGGTCCAGAGAGGTATCTAAGTCCTACCACCACTTTTACACTGTTTCTATGTATTTTTGCCAAGTAATACAATTGCAATTAACAAGCACCCTATGTGCTACATTTTATTACTATTTTATGACTATTTGAAAAGAAGCTGTAATTGTAACAAGGATAAATCCATTGGAAGAGAGCTATGTGCTGTCTAGTTTTGTAAAGAGGTTGTACAAGATGTCTCAAGATCCTGGCACATAAAATTAATGAAATTTGGAGTTTGTTTGGGTTTTTTTTGTGTGTGTGTGGTTTTTTTGTTTGGTTGTTTGTTTTAATAACACAGTTGTGTTCAATTCCAGTGAGGTATTACCCATCATTTCTAAGCAGTAAGAAAACACTTAGTGACTTAACTTATAAACTACCCTAAACCAGCAGTGCTAACTGAGACTCACAACAAGTAGGAATTCAAGAAATCAATGCTTTTCGGTCCAAGTGCATTTCAGCTTTGCCATGGCAAGAGAAAGATTCTACCCTTTTGACAAGACAAAAGCTTACTTCTTACCAAGCTCTTTCTGAAGATGTTTTGGCCCTGTATTGTTCATATGCAATGGTATAAGGAAGAGTAGGTGGCACTGGCAGGTCAGCTGTGAGAGACGTTAGAGCCTCGCGCGACGCTCCAGAGGGCTCTGAGGCGCCCGCAGCGTTCAACTTGAGCCCCGTGGCCGCGAGGAGATCTTCTTCCTCTTGCTCTGCTGCTGAACCAGGCTCTCACTCAGCTCTTCTCGCAACCTCAAAGTTACGGTCACCAAGACTGGTGTAAGATGCTGTTCGGTATTCATAGATGTGACCTCCCACTGCATGATTGGCAGCAAAGAAGTTTAAGAATTATCATGCGAGCTGGAGCTTCCACTGGAGACTTACTGATGTGTCCGAGGAAGGAAAAAAAGGACAGAAATAAAGCGGAGGTTCCATTTAGAGGAAGAAAACGTACTAAAGGTGAAATAGTGGCCCTGCTGAATCCAGTAAAAATCTTGACCGTCATTGTACTCTCTACGCTAAGGGTTGATATCCCCTGTCATAAGAAGGAAAGCAGTACTCCTCTAGATTTATTTGGAATTTGCTGCTAGTTTAAGCACGTAATAAACGCAGACTAACAGCTCAGAGTGGTTTTTAGTGCCTACAAG